CCCCAAAACCCCAAAACCCCAAAACCCCAAAACCCCTCTTAAAATATAATAAAAATGTCAAATCAAATCTTAACTATTGAGATTGGGTCTTTTGGACTTAAAGCTGGAAAATGATTAAGAGAAAAGATGCTAGAAGAGCATTCAATCGATACAACAGGACATTATATCGAGAATAACAATGATTCATATACAAGTGTGTATGGAAATAATACACAATGATTAGACTTGATAGAAAATGCTGATGTATATTTCAAACAATCTGAAGAGAAATATACAGGTAAAAGTAAGTCATCAGTTTACTTTTTAATTATTCCTAGATTAACTGATTCTAGCAATCTACAAACCTAGATCTATTCTTCTTGATGAAGGAGCATCAGATATCGAAAAGATCTTGTGAAAATCTTCATCAAAATGACTTGATCCAAGTTCTATCATATACAATAATGGGTGAAATGCGAAAAATTCATTTAAATACCCAGAGGAAAATAATGAACAAGTAAGTCAAAAGCTATTACTCTTAAAGAGTTTTTTAACAAACCCGGTCTCTTCTTCCTTTTTGTTGAACACCACTGCTACTTCTAATTCCCTTTGGGACATTTTTACAAACTTGGGATTTTCCGATGTTTGTTGTGAGGCATAAAGGCCTGCTCGTGGTTTTTAAGAGGGGTTTGGGGAATGGTAAATGGGTGGATAATTGATGGAATATAGAGTAATTCTCAGCATTTTCTTTCTGAAGTCAGAAAATAAAATTGAAGAGTCAGATAGAATTCCTGAAATTCAGATTATTTTTAGTCTTGAAGGTTCAGTTCAATCAAGATTTTTTAATCATGATATGATATCTGGATTAATTTTGGATGAAACTTCTTCAGCAGAAGTTGTAGCGCATGCACTCTTTCCAGATGTTGAAGCAGGCAGCTATCCTGTAGGTTTGGGTTTGTACAACTCAGTTGAAGGAATGTGAAATTTAATCGAACTCTCAAGCATCTCTTTCATCTATACAAACCACGGAATGAGTAAAATAAATGAGCTTATGTATCCTCAAGATCATTTCGAAGATTCCAACCTCTTTGGCTATGAGTTAGAGTGGGAAAAATAACAACCATGTTGTTGCTGACTATATATCAGACTTGACTAGTATCTCTCGTTTTCCAATGTATTCCTCTTCTTGTTACCGTAAAATTGCTACAAACATGGTTCAGTTTCCTCGGATACATTTTCTGACAGGATTTTTATCTCCTCTGGGTACTACTGAACCTCAGTCGGCAGAAGATCTTTTCAAGAACCTTCATACACATAATCTAAGTTTAGCTTCATTTATACAGCTGAGCCCACCTGAAAATTTTGAAAAACCAACTGCCAATCAAGATGTTTGGATGGAAGATAGAGAATCAGAAAGAGTCTGGAATAATATAGAATCCAGCTTACTTACCTCTTCTGGCATTTTTAGACTTTCTGAACCAGAAGATACTTCAGAGATAGAAATGTTATATGAGGACTACTGCCCCAATAACAATGAAAACAGTACCCATCAAGCTTTCTCTGATATGCCAAGAGTAAATCCTTTAACAAAAGAGAAGTTTGCAAGTCATGCTGCAATCACAGTTAATTCGCATGCTATTAAATAAAGGATTGAGATATTTGTTCCCTTATTCTCAGATCAGACGGAGGTAAGGCCTTCCTTTACCAAGCTCGAAAGTATGAAATGGATGAGCTTTATTTCGCTGAAATGGAAGCTAACATAGCAGATTTACATTCAGAATACACCTATAATTATGGCTATTATGAAGAAGATGAAGATGAGGATGACCAAGATGAAGATGAAAATGACTTCGATTAAGTAAAAATTATTTGAGGAACTTGCTTAGTAAGACCAAAAATGAGTAAAGATTCAAAAATGAGTAACATGAAATTGAGAATGCAAGTAAATAATTGTTTCAATTAAAAGAATCATTAGAGGGGTTTTGGGGTTTTGGGGTTTTGGGG